GTTAACATTCGATTACTAATTTAAAGGTTATAGCATGAAAACTACAACAAGCACAAAATGGTTACAAGTTTGGTCCAAGGGACCGAGCATGAGTTGAAAAAGTTAATCGTAACCATTCAACAGTTGCAGGCTATGTCCGTTTTCAAATATATTGTCTCCAAATGGTGAAGAGTTAAATGGAATGTTTTAGTGTGAAATCTCAAATTCAATGTATATTTAGTAAAACTGGTTTAAAAATACCATTATTTTAACAAAGACAAGCTTATAAGTCTTGTTGAATGTATGTAAGCTTTGGGCTTTTAAAATGTAAAAGGGTAGCCACATTCTTACCACAATTTGTTTCTTTGACTTTTCCCTCACCTTTCAAACGAAATTATGGATTTTCCACACATGTACGTAAGTGTGTACAACGAACTGATACTTAACTTTTTTTCTCATACTTTAACATGCTTAACACCTCTTTAGCTTGTAATTTGGTTATAAAAGGCAATAGAAACTTCAAAACATACTTCAGACTGTGGTAATACAGAAACATTTTCAACAACATGATGGTACATAAAAAATGGCAATTAAGCTACATGTGCAATTGAAGTATGACCACAAACCTGGAATAGTTAAGGAATTTGCAAAAAAAGGTTCAAAAAGTGTGGAACTATAAAAATTATCTCCAAAAGCTGAAAAATTCAGCAGAAAATGTACCCCCCCCCTTTTTTTTCATATCTTAGAACCTGATCACAGACACAAAAACCATGCTGCTCAGGTATGGCAATTGATCAATCTTAATCAGTTACTCTATCATTTTATGTTATGATAGCTATCTAATAGTTTATTTATATTATTTGATCTAAACTGTGATCAACTATTATGTATTATTTTTCAGCTTTTGGAGATAATTTTTATAGTTCCTTACTTTTTGAGCCTTTTTTAGCAAATTCCTTAACTATTCCAGGTTTGTGGTCATATTTCAATTGCACATATAGCTTAATTGCCATTTTTAACTTTATATAGCTGAGCGAGACCCAGTTGTTAGCATACTGGACTGTGGATCTTCAATTCCATGGTTTACATCCTGTTATTGCAAAAATAAATCATGCTCTACATTTAGAGATTGTAGATGTATTATAAAAGTTTTGTTCAAGTACCACTATTCATCCTGACAGAGAAGATCAAGAGTTGGCAGTGAGTGGTGTTAAATAGTTGCCTTCCCTCTAGTCTATCATTTCAAAATTAAGGATAGCTAGTGCATTTTGAAACTTTGTACTGTCAGTTACGGTTTATATTTTAGTGGAACGCTCCTGAAGAAGCTGTATAATGAAACATTGAGTAAGTGTCCAATTAAAGAAAAATAACCAATTTAATGTTATAAGATTCATTATTTCTGATATTAAAAATCAGTTCTTTCATTTTTGATGCTATTAATTTATAAGTTTAATAAACTTACCCACATTTTACAGAGTGTTTTGAACTTATCATTTGGATCAGCATCTTTAAAAGTACTGTTGATGATATAGGCAAAATTAATAAAATAGTTGTTTAAGTAAACAAATTAATATTTACTTATCAGTATTCTGCAAACTGAATGTAGCACTAAATTTTAGTGTAATATCCTAAACATCTATATAGTGAAGAGTTAAGTGGATCACATTTAAACAATTCATCTAACTCTTCACTGTATTTAGTCACAACTATCTAAAAAACAGTCATATTCAGAAATGCTGTATAGTCCAAAATGACAATACCAAAAGTAAAAAAATATTTTGTATCATTTTCAGTGAAGTTTTTATCACACTTCTGTCGTGATTACCATAATACCAATGTCACCAATTACAGCATCTCAGTGCAGGGTTTCAAACTTATGCTCATGCATTGCATGATGGATAGGCAACAGTGATTGTTAGACAAATAAGTGGAATCACCTTCAGCTAACTAAACACAAATAATACAAAGACTAATTTATTTTAAGCTAAGACATTATATGAGCATTACACCCAGCAAAGAAACTCCAGTAATTCTGGCAATGCATTTATCACAGCCAACATGAAATCAGTCAACATACCAAACTACGTTGCATAATATGAAAGAAAAATAGTATAATTTCTATTCAGTTAACAAAAACAGAACTTTTTGTTTACTGTTGCGTCATCGAGGTCACGTGACTGGTGTGGTGCCACCTATTTTCTAGAACTATCCTGTACCTTGGCGAATGCTCTAGTATTTACTTGATATAGGGTCGTCTGGTATATAAAAGAGGGTGACAACGTGACGGGATAATAATGTGTGTGAATAATTGAACTGCAGTCAGAAGTATTGTTGACGTTCGTTATAGAGCGATTGTTGAAAATAAGTGTATCGTAAAGTTGTATTCGGAAAGAATAAACCAGTTTTATTAAGTAAAGACTTGTGTCGCTAAAGTTTCGTCAGAACGAAGTTACGGAAAGTTAATTAACAAACGGAAACGTAACAAATTGGTGTCAGAGAGTGGGATAGAAAAAAAAAGAAGA